ACTACTTTACTACTAAAGTACTTAAACATACGAGAAACAGGCTTACCAGATTTAACACATTGGTAGTAGTTCGTTGTGATAAACAATTGTGAGCCACCTTATAACATACCTTTAATAACTTACTATTGAACATCTGATACGGGTAGACGTCATTGAACCGCCGTATGGGACTAGGAACAGCAGTTAAAAGTGTACTCCAAGCTACAGGAATGGGAGTTTATTTTTAACTTCCTTTTCGAGTGTTAATTCGATTACCGAAATGGTTACATTTATGACTTTGTGGACCATTTTTAAATACAACAACTGTGTCGTCTACATATCAGCCAAAACTTAGGGTTGAGTAATGGACGAGCATATATATCATATAATACTTTATAGCCCATAAAACTTTATTATAACCACATAACTACCCTCGTTCTTAATAGTTAATCATTAAGTTTATTAGCCACTGGAGAGCGAAGTGGGGGAGAGGGGATGGACTAACCTTCAGGAGCACAGCTTTGCATTCCTTAAGCTGATTTGCCTTGAAGAAGGCCCTTGCCAGGTACTGCAGCAACTCGGTATCATTTTGTCGAGAAAATTTGCGAATGCAATTTTCGTACTTGAAAAATAAAAGAAGAGATAAGCGTGCTGATGACGGATATAAGTACTAATACACACAAATTAGGCAGAAATCCAGGATGAATGAAGGAAAAAAAACTACTGACCAAAGCTAAGTCAGCTACTTATAATACTTGCTGTTGAACCTGGCGTGTGCATGCACTCAGAAAAAGAGGCCATAGTATAATGGCCTGGAACTGCGAAATTACAGTCGGTTGTAGGATGGAAACTTTTGGAAGACTCGATTAGTGTTCTAATAAATATGTCTCTTCAAAGCAAACTAAATAGACTTACAAAGTCATAAAATCCCGCCCCTCTTATTTTCCAGTCTGACGCGTAAGTATGCACTTTGTGCCCGTAAAGCATACTTGTTTATCTCTACTCCAAAAACACAGCGAAGGCGCCAGCTGAACTTATTTTGAAAGTTTAAAGTCGAACCTGTGTCTCGCGCCTTTCAGACATACTCGTCAAGGTAAACTATATGCAAAGGGGTCTTGCTACGACATATGCTGAGGATTGTGATATATGTCGTGATATTCTAATTAAAACAACTGGCAGCTGGCGGCTGGCAAGAGCTGTTACTACTGACAACTGCCTTCAGAACAATACGTAATTTAATAATTGGAAGAAGTCTCCGATATGGCAAGCTGTCGAGAAGGAGAACGTTACGGTCAGAAAAGAGGGGACCAACTAGCTTTGTGTGCTGTTTTATTTCGCATACTCTGCTTTAGCGAAGATGGTGGATATTTAAACTAATACAGACACAAGGAGGTCTCACAGTGGCGAACATTAAATCTGGGTGAAAACAGCGTCTGCTTAGACAGGTCAGGACGTCCGGTTACCTCAAAGGTTCCAACACTCACTGTGCTCTTGGTGAGCTAAAACCAATGAACGTTGGACTTTAGGAAAGCCTCGGATTCCACGGTAGGTCTGGTTTTCTTCTAAGTCGACCAAGTTAAAATCGCTCCGAACACGGCCCAATTAAAAAGAGCAAGGAGGGAAAGGACAATATGACCAGGGTGGGGGGGCAGCGGTTGCCTACCATTTGGATGGCAGCTGTAAACTGCTTCTGTTCAACATAAATGTGTGCAATGTTGATCCAGACGTCGGGGAAGTCTGCGGTTGCCTCACGGACCTGGGCGAAAACGTCGCGGGCCTCGTTGACAAAGCCCTTGTGTGCCAGAACGCAGCCGATTCCATGAGCCGCCCAGGTATTACGGGGATCTGCACTGAGCACAGCCTTGTAGCAGGAGAGAGCGCGTTCCTGCAAATAGATAGTAAGGGTAGTTTGCAGAGGTTTTCAAGGCACGAGCAGATCATCACGTGCAGAGCAGGGCTACAATGCTTGAGATTGATTCATGGCACGAGGCTCAAACTGGCACACACACGATCAAGGAATAACAAGTGCCACTGGTGCACCCTAGGGGACAAAAAGAACAGAAAAACTCCTGGATTGCGGAATTCGCTTTGAGGTCATACGCCACTGCGTTTTTTCAATTCTCCGGAGTTATAAACAATCCATGCAGGATACTCGTCTGATGGGTTCCAACTTGCAGGGTGTTCCTATACTGTTTGGTTGGCCGAAGGCCTACCTGAAGCACGTTATTTATCGGGGCGGAAACACATGCTTCAGTTATTAAGGATTGTGTTTTCCCCTTTCAAGCATGACGATTCTCCTAAACATGCGTTATGGTAGGCCGAGACAGAAGGAAATCGATGAGACTGAACATCCAAATATTTCCACAAGCTTTTTGATGTCAGAGCGGAAGGAGTCTTCCAAAAGTGGATGTCCCACATTGCATTTGGAGTTGCTGATTATGAAGGAGACGATCTAGAACTAAGACCTTTCTACCAAAGTTACATCACTGTGCTGCTAAAAAACGTAGAATTCGACTCAAATATTTATACGAGCTGTTGAGCCGAACCTGGACAAGTGTGTCCTAAGGACTAGTTAATTTCTGCCAAATTAGAAATGTTCAGTCAAAACCATTGCGAGGGCCTACTGATGAGCCTAGCGCCGTGCAACAGCATAAACATTGGCGAGGCATGTGTCTGGAATTTTTTTAGCCAGTAGGTGTGTTCAGAGTATGGCTAAACTACTTATTAGGTGGAATTTATACTTTTGATCGAAAAGTTGCATGTTAACTGTCCGGAGCAGCAATATGTGCATACACAAAGGAACAGATCGATAACAGTCTGGCGTTACCTGGTGGCGTTTTCGCCTATCCTTGTCACGAACTGGATGGTGCAGAGTGCGCAGCCAAATATTCCCCAGGGTGATCCGGCAGAAGGCGTCTGCACGGAACTCGGGCTGTCTGATGATCCGTTCAAACTTCTTCTGCGCCTGGTCAACCTCATTTTTGTTCAAATGCAAGAGGCCGAACAGTGTCCAGGCATCAGGATTGTCCTGCTCGAGGTGCGAAGGAAAGCAAACAAATCAGACGCGGAAAGGCATGTGAGTAAAAAAATAAATATGTCGGATTGGGATAGGCAAAAAGGAAGGGTACAATAGATGTATCTTAAGGAACTAGCTCTAAGCCACAAATGAACCAACACACGGAAAGACGTGTAAGTAGTTTCTGGGTGGATCAGTATTGAGAGTACGATTTGAACAGCATGCCATAGACTAGACCGCGTTACCGGGTCTAAACATTCCTACTGATAATGTATTGCAGACTAGATAGGCTTCCATGGCATCATTGTGGACGTATCGCAGGGGATTAAGTGAGGTAAACCCTAGCAACTGCGATCTTCAGTCCCTGTTCTTTAGGTGAAGATCAGTCATGGGAGGCCAGAGTAGTAGGAACATTTTATTCTGTAGAGAAGGAGTAGAGAATAGGTAAGAGGAATTTGACTACCAGACAAGCGACCAACCGCCGGCCACACAGCCGCGTCTGAAGTCAAATTCATCTGACCTATTTTTCATTCCTTCTGCACAGAATAAACTGCTCCTACTATTCTGGCCTCCCATGACTTCTCTTTACCTAAGGAACCAGACCTGAA